TCACAAAGAGATCACACAATAGAAATTTCATTTATCAAATCACTAATCTCATACAAGATACAAGGGGCCATATAAATAGGCTCCAAATAAAAGTAAATGCAAAAGTCTAAAATGCCCCTTGGGGCTACAAGAGCAACTAATACCCTCAGGGGTAAAATGGGAAACTACGAAAATAAAAGCATAACATATAAACTGCTGGTACAAGTAAAATCAATAATAGAGACTCTCAATCAAGGCCGTCGATCTCTGTGGTCGTCTCTGGTAGACGCGCCGAAATCTCCTATCGATGACCTCATCATTCTCCCCGGGTGGAAGAGAACTCGACCCCGTCGAGTGCGTACTTGGGGCTACAAGAGCAACTAATACCCTCAGGGGTAAAATGGGAAACTACTAAAATAAAAGCATAACATATAAACTGCTGGTACAAGTAAAATCAATAATAGAGACTCTCAATCAAGGCCGTCGATCTCCGTGGTCGTCTCTGGTAGACGCGCCGAAATCTCCTATCGATGACCTCATCACATTAGCTGGTTGCAATTTGCGAGTAATCATTCAGTGTCAATGCAACCCAAACACTGCTAAGAAAAAGTTGACTAGAAAATTAGTCATAGTTATAAGCAAATCAACGTAACAATGAGTACTAGCTTGCATTATAGGGCATCTCGTAGGGAATCAAATAGAGAACAAAAGAACAAGGTGATAAATGCTAAAGCATCTCTTTCAGTCAAAACTCTTTCCATTCCAGCTGTTGACGGTAATGCACAAGCTCTTAGATGTTGCACTTGAAGGGCTTATGAAAAAGGTGAATTCTAGGAATCAAAGTAGTCAATGTTTTTTTCTTCATTTTAGTTTGACTAAATATAAAGCTAGGTTTTTAAGCATCAACATTAATTTATTAAAATTTGGAGAAGATTTTTAGATGATTTTTATTTTTTAAAGTAAAATTTATAACTAGAAAAAAAAATTATGAGAACATCAATAAAAATTACAAAAAAAAATTGTCAGAGAAAAAAATACATAAGATAAGATAGATATTGCATGCTAGTCTAGAATAAGAAATCATTAAGAACGTCAAGACTATAAAAAGGCTCATTTTGATTACTTTGCTTGAAGCCTAGTGAAAATAAGAGAAAAGATTGTTTTTTTCTTAATTCTGCCTCTTCCGATAAATAGAATCTTAAATATTTCATCGAACAGAGAATTAACACTATGAGTGCACATATCAAAATCATAAGGCTGTTGGAATATCCTCATCAGCACAGTGTTCACAAATTAGGAGTTGAGGTCTTGCAAGAATAGGTAGAGCAAGATTAATGGTGATGCAAGTAGGTGTTGATGAAACACCACTATTGGGTTAGCATGTGAATGCACAAGAGCCCCCTAAATCCAAGAGAGAATCTAAAATTGGTTCCAAATTCTAATTGCAAACCTGATGTAATAAAAGACTAGCCTCCATATTTGTGGAGGGTCATATTTATCACTTCATTATATCAGTTGTGATTAATAGTTGTTAGATTTGCTTAGCTTTGGATGAGCCTTAAAACATTCATAAAAAATGTCCAAAATTTTTATAGGATAAACAATATGATGGGATGCCTTCAAATTCAACCATCTAAAGATATCCACGGGTCAAGGAGCCTATCAACACCTTTTATAACTCGATATCTTTCAATGAAGGGACTTCTATTTTTTGTTGAAGGAATGACTGCACTATGGTGGATTGGTAAAATTTTCTCAATTCAAATAAGATGGTAAGATTATGTTTAGCTTGTCTTCTTACCTTTTAACTTTGAAAGGCTTTACATGTGGCTTTGTTCTTCAGGTGCATTTGAGCATTTACTTGTAATTTGATCATCTTAATGGAATAAAATGGCAGGAACCCATAAAAAAACATTTAAAAAAACTGTAGTTGTAACGACAACATATTCTCTTTCAAATTCTAAATATTGTGCATCTAATTATTTCAATAAGAAAGAAGTAATGGAGTGGCGACGATCAGACAATGTTTATCAAGCTACTATGGTCAGATGATTGCGATCAAGTGATGGTCGTCGAGCAACAATATTTGAACGATGACAATTAGATGGTAATGGGTTATTATAGCTAAATGGTGCAAGTTAGATTGTGATGATCGAGTGACAGTAATTAGATGACAGCATTCGGGTGATGGCGATCCAGCAACGACAATCAGACAATAGTGTTGGCTAGCCATGATCATCGGCTTTGAACGTTAAGTAGAGCTTTAGAGTTTTGTATATCTCTTAGCTATCTCCAAACTCAAGTATAGATTCCTCTCATGTGAAGAATAAGGCTCTGTTTATAGTTTTTTTAGAATAATATTTTGGTTAATTTGGCCAATTTTTCATAACACTCCATTAAACAACTCATACTAAATATTTTAGTCATAAACAGTTTATTCAAAAAAGCATTGAAGTGTCTTAAAGCCTTATTGGATTAGCCTCGTCTTGTTGCTCGATTTGACTATAAGCATGTAATATTTGAAGATTATTCAGTCCTTCAATTAATAACATGGAGTTTTCCTTCATAGTTTATGTGCTTGACTTGGGCTCATTTTGACTTAGAATGGACCACCTTTGGTGCCATTGAGTTCGTTTTATCAAGAAGTTCAATTCAACTATAAATTTACTGAAATTAGAGCTCGAATGGTTCTACGTTTAAATTCAAAATGTTTCATTATAAATAATGTATCAAAATCCATACCAACAAGTAAATTTTTTTTGTAGACATATTAATAATATTTTTTAAATTCATTTAGACGGTAACCACAAGCCAATATTTTAGATCTAAACAATATGAGGGAGCAAGATTAAACTTATGGTGTCAACTAATAATTTCATTTAAAGTAGTATCATAAGTAAAAATAAATGATAAGACTAAGAGAATTGATCAACACATACGTATAGCTTAATAAATGGTGAGAGTTTCTATGGAAGAATTATGTACTAGAAGATAACAATCTCACTAGACAATAGGATGATAATAACTTGGGTATGTTGGAGAGTTGCGAGTCGGGCTTAGCAGTATTTCCCTTTTTTTCTTATTTCACTTAAAGGATTGCGTCCTTTTGTGTATTAAAAAGTGTCTCTTTGTCAGTTCAGTGTGTACAACGTGTGTACGAAACAAAAAAGAGACAGGATCATAAGATATATATGTATAATTTCTTCCAAATTTTCATAGTGAATTTCTTGGTGTGATGTGGCTCCATGATTTTTTCTTGATTTGAAGTTTTTTACATTAAATCTTGGTGTTCATTTTTGTTATTTTCTTCTTTTTTTTGTTGAGTAGCTTTCCTTCCCAACACTAACCTCAATCGCATGTCAACTATGATCCTCCGACCTCAGTTGTTCGCTGGCCGATGTCCTGCAACCACCATCGCCTATATACAGTCCACCAACCCACAATATCCTGACAAGTGTCGCATAGTGTTATGCCGGTCCAGCTTGGACCGGCTCTACCTGGACCGGCCCAGCCGGTCCAGTGCTATTCGCGACGGACGCAGAGGAGCCGCGCGGAAGTGAGAGGGAGCCAGGGAGTGGGGTCCACTTGCAATTCAAACATGGGTTAAGTGTTTTTGGAGGGAGAAGGAAGGGTAGAGTAGTCCTTTTGCTTTTAATTTGAATTAGATTGTATTAATAGGGCAAACGAGTATTTCCTATCACATAGCTACTTCAATTCCTACTAACTTCATCACCTACCATCGCCGATATGTAGATGCATATCATCACTTATAAGATTGATGCATGTTATCAACGTCAGCTCTAACTTATAACTTCAATACTTGGTTTTATACAATATTCCTGCCAGAGAGCTCTCCCAATTTCAACAATTTAATGTGTACTTTATTAATGCCTTCACTCGAGGAAGGGCTTCACATATAACCATATATAAATACAAACTGTGGTTTTTCCCTTTCCTGAGTTTTACAAGAAAAATTTTGGTCTCTTACAATTATTACACCACTCCTTTTTATCTATATATGTTAGGCCTTCATGCAAAACCAAAGTGTTAAACTTTCTATACTTTTACCGCCGTAAAATGTTACAACGTGCAACATATAATAATAATAATAATAATAATAATAATAGAATGAAATTGGAAAAACGAGTATGAACACCTCAATAAAAACACAGAGTTTTTGACATTTGATTACCTCCCGAACAGTAAATTCATCGTGAAAGAAAAGCGCGAGCAAAAAACTCCCACCAACAAGCATATAGTGTCGGAATGTATCAAGTTCCTTATCGTACGTCCTCCGTACCAGTGGATGGGCGCGCATGCACCAAACAATGGCGATCGAGCTTGATATGAACACCACCTTCATCACCGAATTGTAAATCGAAACGAAAACCGTAAGTAAGTCCAAGTAACGGGTCAGAAACACCAGCGCATAAAGCTCCTGCGTCTTGAGGGAAATCCCTACATCCCCAAATTTCACATTAATGCATATTGCAACTCTTCCAAGAAAAACAAAAAAGATAAACAGAAATAGAAAGATCTAACACCTGAACAGGATTTTGTAGCATATATCTTGAGGAGAAGAACAAGGACACTGAATAGATGCGTCATGTCGCCTGCTAATCGGAAAATATTCATGGCGGCGAAGGAATATAGCCCAAGGTTAACAAAAACTATATACTAATGGAAGAGAATCGGGTTCCAAATCTTCTGAGCTAGGGTTTGGGAGACGTAAAACTTCGAGAAATTGGATGCAAGAGCCGAGAACCGGCGAAGGCTAAGCAGAGCGGAAACGCTGCTGCAAGGTGGAGAGAGAACCTGGGCGGCGATGAGGTGGCAGCGAGAGGAGCGTTGCGGCCTCTGGTCTTTTCTTGTCTCCCCACGTGGAGGAAACCCAGCTTCGGGTCAAGCTCCTTGTCGGGCCTTTGGTGGAGGCCCAACCAGCCCAAGTCCAGCTACGATCCTTCCGATACAATAAACTCCCCCCGTTTCAGAAAACAATTTGTATTGAGATGTCTTTATTAAAAAATTAATTATAATCAATTTAAAAAATGAATATAATATCAATTATGTATGTAATATATTCATTTTAAACTAGATCTAAGAATTTAAATTTCATTTTCATCAATTTTCTTACAGAATATTCTATCAATAATTTTTCAAATTACCACCATGTGAAGAAATATCTAAATATTTGTATATTTGACCTCATTATTTTCATATTTATTCATACAATATTTTTATGATCTAACTTGTATCAAAATTATATATATGAAAATTTTATTTTGCTAATTTTAATAATATTTTTAATGTGACTTAAGTATGAGAAAACTATATAATTAAATTTAACTTCTTTCCTAGATCTCAAATGCATGAAAGTTTGGTCGACTAACGACTTAAGATAATCTTCATGCTTGTAAGAAGATAGATAATAAGAGAATTGCGTTATGTTTTCTTCATTTGCTTTCATTTTATTTTTCTTGACATGTCACAAAAAATCATTCTTATCAGGCACGAATCTTGATGCAAATATGAATTGAAAACTTTCAAAATTAAATTTGGGACCATTCAAGCTCTCATTTCAGCAAATTTATAACCAAATTGAACAATTCAATGAGATAAACTCAATGACATACAAATTCAGTCCAATCCAAGCCCAAATGTGCTCAAATCAAATGATCAAAATATATTTGTAAGCTTTAATTAATTGGATGATCAAATGATACCAAATATGGCATGTGTATAGTCTAATCGAGCTGCTTAACGAGGTGAATCCAATGAGCCCAAAAGTACTTAATTATGACATTACTAACATGATAAATGTAGGACTGTCAAAATCAATCACGGGTCAGGTTCAGATCTCACCCTAAAACTGACCCGACACTAGCTCGCTAGACTTGAACCCGGCTCATTTTTTAAAACATATCACTTTCTCGGACCAGAACCCGACCTGACAACCCGACACGACCAGTCGAAGGTTGTAAATTTGGGAAAGATATGAGGGTTTTGAACATTACAGATGATGAAGGGATACAGAGAGCTTTTCTCCTCTCTCTGAAATCATCAACGCCTATAGGATATCCAAAGTATCCAACCAATAAAATAGCCAGGGAGGTTACCTGGAAGCAAACAGATCACATGCTTCTCATTTTTAGGCAGCTAGACCAAATAGACCAAATAGATCAAAGAGGAAAACATAGGGAGAGAATGAAAGCATGTGAAAAGGTTTTACAGGGAAGCAAACAAGGATAAAAAGCTTTAAAAAAATACTGATCTTCATTCTATGACCAAATGCAATTAAAAGAAATGACTAAAACAACTAAATAAAAAATAAAAAATAAAAACAAATCCATGAACTTCTTATCCCTGAAGACGGATATGCTTCCACTTCCGCTTGCAAGGAAAGCTCAAGCGACCCGCATAAGAAGAAGGAAAGTGGGAGAGATTGTTGAGCTCGATGGAACCCTAATCAGAGCCATTTGGGTTGGATTTGCTGATTTGGAAGGAAGGGCAAGTGGCGACGCCGGGATCCATTATCAAGCGATGGATTCTGAAGAGGCGGGTGAAAAGGCTTATGAGGGTTTAAGCTGCATGAGGACGCCGTGGAGCGATGGGATTTATCCAAGGATGGTTCGTTCTGATTCTGGATCAAATATAGGTCAATACCTAGTTTCTGTGTCAACCCGAATTTGACCTAGATTATGAAATGGGTCAACTTGTTGAATCCGAATATGACTCGTAAACTTCTAGGTTAACCCTAACCCTAAATTTTCAGGTCGGATTCGAGTCAAATTTTTTTGTCGTTTCAAATAGTGACACCCCTACCTAAATGCTTCACAAACACTTCATGAACGGCATAATCATTATTGGTTGTTCGATGTAACGCTATGAATTTATCTCATATCTTCTCTGGATTTACACGATATGACACTCTCAAAATACCCCCTCTTCCCACATGAGGAAGGGTGACTTTGAGGTTTGAAGCATCTCAGAACTCCACCTAAAGACAATCGTCGGCAAACCCTCAACATCCAAGCACCACTACTAAGCCTCCACCTGACCATCATCATGGAATCTCCATCTGGCCACCACTATCGGCTCTCTACCCGGCTACAATCTCTCCAATTATTTTTGCTCGATTAAGGTTCTTTTAACATTTGTTGCCTCGTGTCTACGGTCCATCCGACCACCGTCGCCAGACTACGATCTTTTCAACAACAGCCACCCACTGAATATGGTCCCTTCGACCAATGTTGCCCAACTACGGTCCTTTCAATCATCATCTGATGCCTACTTATAATGCCTTGGAATAATTTTTTTTCTATAATTTATACAATCAAATCTGCCTAATTCCTTTTATCAACATAAATAGTAATATAAATAAAGATCTTGGTTAAAATATCAATATATGTGTAGAATACTAGTGAGGAAGATCTTGTTTGATCTTCTTGCAAGATCTCTAGAGAGGGAGAGAGGAGGAGGGAGAGGGAAGAAGAGCTGCGAGCCAAAATGATCTTCAAAACTTTATTTCCTTGGCTTAATCCTAATACAAGCTAAAAGGCCTATTAATAGGCACCTAAGGCTATACAAATAGCCACACACAAGCTATACAAAAAACAAACCTAAAAATCTGGAATAAAACCTAACAATCACCCCCTTAGTCCAGATTTTACAAAAAACAAGATAACCACTGTTCATAAAGAACAGCCAAAGAATGATCATGTCGGTCTCCTCCGCTGAAAGCGTCCACCGACATTCTATCTCCAGTATATGAACATATC